GATTTATGTGATGTGACTCAGACTGATAATACCAGAGCCCCAGAGCAGACACAGTCACAAGGAAACTGTCAAGTTAGTGATACTGATGCTCTCTGCTCGGCTAGTGTTTGGCAGAACCTTTAGGAAGTGCAATGAAGCTTGTTATTTTTGGTGCAGTCTTGTTAAGCTCATTATCGCCATCAATACCAGGGTTTGATTAATGTGAGGTTTTGAATGCTAAAGCTATCAATCATAAATGAGTGTAATCATATTTTTAGTTTCATAATGGAAGATAACCAAATAAGCCAGGACTAATTCTTTTAAATAATGCTTACCTAATGGGAATGCATCCCTCCAGTGAATTTTGGTTCCTCATTTTCTTGCTATAAAATATTATTAGTTCTTAAACCTGGCTTGACTTAATCTGTAGTTGCTTTCAGTTGGCTTTATTAAACAGCTTTCCTGTTTTGATGAAAAAAAGCAGAGCTGATCAAACAGGCAATGGCTAAGAGGTTGTTAGAGGTGCAACAACATAATCATAATCCATGCAAGTCCAAATTGTGTGCCACATGTCTTCTTTAGAGCCAAACATCAGGGTGTGTTATTTTGCTTTTGCATGCAGACTGCTACTGTACCAATCGGTGTGGCTTGGCATGCATATACACACAAACACTGTCCCTTTGTTGTATGCCATCATCAAACATCAGCTCAATAAATCTCTGTGCTGCTTCCAGAGGTAATAAAACAGCTTCCTGTGTGGCAAAAGACCTGACTAAATGATTTAGGAGCTGAGGTTACGGATCGTAATTGCTCTCTTAGTGACGTCTTGGGATCAGAACCGCAAACTCTGACATTGTAGCATATCCTTTTTACTGTTGGCCACAGGCACTAGTATTCTGCGTAAGGCTGTGGTTGGCTGGACCGGTCGGCATAGGCCAAACCTAACCGCAGTGCTACATCTAGCCGTTTTTCGAACACCCACTTCACCTCAGATAAAAGCCGCTGTAGCAGCCCTGTGTATTGAATCTGGACCAATCATGAGGGTATCCTGTTCTTATCAGGGGTCAGATAAGCTCATTTCACAGGCCCTCGCCTCTACTGGGCTACCAACAGGACCCCACTCTGACAAGAGCTGACCTCATCTACCTTTTCTTAATGTCTGTGGTTGAATTGGAGGTCAAGAGGGGAGGAAACTCAATGACTGAATCTTTGTAGTAGCTACAGTATAACAAAATCAAATATGTAGTCTTTGAAACAAACGAGACAACCTTGACATTCCTGGAGGGGAGTATTGGGACTCCGGACTCAGTCACAATACAGCGTCAAGATTAAAATGTGTATTTGGACTGAGGAATCTCCACAGAAGAAAGTGGTGTCTGTAAAGTGTGTAAATTTGTAGGGGAAATGAAAGGAAAAGCACACAATCTCATCTCAACACCCTTGTTCCCATGGCCGTTTTTCTGTGAGCCTATATACCATTAGGCTCAGTGCAGGGCTTCAGCGGGTTCTTTGAGCTAATTGTCTTGAACTTGGGAGGCCAGATGAGGGGGGAAAGCACCAAAATGTAGTCGGGAGACTCACCTTGGCTTACCAGTCTGAGGGCCCTTTTTCTACATCGAGCCTCCTGAGGACCCTCCCCAGCCACCGCACCCATCCAGGCCCTACAGGCATCTCAGGCTGACAGCTCTTGAGCCAGGTACTGGCAGTACAACAGAGCAGTCATAATTGGCCCCTATTCATTTCTCAGGTATAATCCTCACCAAGGTTGAGCCCTTTCTGTTCCTAGCTTCATTTTTCCCCCAGATGTTTACATAAGTTATGTATCGGTTTCTCCTCCACCTGAGGCTTACGCTCCGGCTGCGGGTCTGTATACCCAGCATGTGTTTTAACGTGTGTCTGAAGGTTCTGCTGCTGGGGCTCAAGACCTGAAGTGACAAAGGCCTCGTGAATGTCTGATTCACAGACAACTGTCAGTGTTCAATGGGCTGGATTAAGACGGAGCATAGAACCGAGCGCACCCTGACATGTTGACATGTTCTACTAAGTGCATTTCAAGGTGGATTTAGCCTGTTTGCTCCATTGTGGTGGGACAGCAGAGACACAATTGCTTAATGGGACTGGCTATTCTTGAGTTGGCGGGTGAACTTTACTCCTGCTGTCTGGGTTGGGACTGACACCAGCCTCATTCTCAGGGTGAGTGAGGCTGCTGTGGATCCTGAGGAGGTTCAGGGGTTTCAGAGAGCTCTGTCCTTAACCAAACAAACACCGTGGAATTTCTGCCATTGTTGGTGCAGAGGGTTGAGTGACAGGGCTGCATAGCAGAGCTGCCTGTCAGCAGGGACGACTCCGGGTCAAAGTGTGACCACCCCTTGTGACACTTAATATAAGACTTAGCCATGTAGCATATATTAAGATAAACCTGTACAGATGCATGTTTACATTGATGCTGTCAGTGGTTCTCTGGATTTGTTTTTTGGATGCTCTTATAATGCTGTGAAGAAGGAATTTCCCCCCTCAATCATTTGTAACAAATTGTCTTTATGAAAGGAATAGTTCAACATTTTGAGAAATAGATATTTGTTATCCTGCTGACAGTTAGATGTTGATACTACTCTTGTGTCTGTATGGCTAATATCAGTCTAACAGCAGAAGTCAGTTCCCCGTTTGTCTTTATGCTAAGCTTAGCTAACCTGCCACTGGCTCTACTTTAACATTAACTGTATAGATGAGAGAGTAGTAATTGATCTCCTCTTCTAATTCTTGGCATGAAAATAAAATAAGCATATTTATAAGTTCATACACATGAATACACAATACAGATGCTAGCGACCATACAAACACAGAAAACTCAGTCAGTGGGCATCGTTACTTTAATTTTGCATTCCAAAGTGTTATTACTTTACATATAAATCATATATAACAAAGCTTTAATGGAAAATTACACTTCTCTATTTACAACTGCTTAAGTTGGCGGCCAGGTGATATCCGGCCTGCACTCCCCAGTTTTGGGTTTTAGTGCAGGCCATCATTAACTGGTCGACCTGAAAGTTGAACCCTGACCCCCCCCCATGGGGCACAGCTGAGGCTAACTGGTCAAAGCTTGGACCTGGAGTGACTGCTCCACAAAAATGAACAGATAGTCAAATTAGACGGATACGTCATTAAATTGATATTGTTTGTGTGAGCAGCCATACTGTGAACGCGATATAGCGCAGATGAGAAAACGCAGAAGGGAAGTGGAGGGTAAAAAGCAAACAGACATTACAGTTACACTGATGGCCTCAATAACTTCCCTCATGTTGCCTTGGGCCCACCCTGAGGTCTCTGAAGTGGCTCGTTAAGCACAGGAACATCGACTCAATTACCCTGGGCAAACACAGCGCTACCGCTCGGTGTCGTGTTGGTTGGTTGGGTCTGTCCGTCTCCTTGCCATCCTACCAGCCCCCCGGCCCTCCTCACCCTGAGCCCCCCAGGCCCCTGCCGTGCAGCGCCGCAGCATGTGAGCCCTCTGTGCTCCGAGTGAGAGAGTCAAGCTGTTCCTGCTGAGCGGAGGTCAGGGTCCTTCAGTCAGCACCTCAGCCCTGAACAGAGCACACAGGAATCCCCCTTCCCTCCCTAACCGGGGCTGAAACTCAGCTCTCTCTCCTCTGGCCCAGGTCCAAATAAACCTGGTACCTCTCTCTCTCTCTCTCTCTCTCTCTTTTTCCTCTCTCCATCTCCTGGCACACTGTCACTCCCCTCATCGAAATAATTAATCAGACTGGACAGATTAGACTTCAAATAAAAATAAACTACACCCAGCAGAGCCTCCCCTTAGGTCCCCTGATTTCTGTAGCAACCCACTTTATCGACAGCCCTCCTCGTCCTCCTCCTCATCGTCTACATAATAAACCCAAGATGTCCAGTTCAGTCAGCAGGTTGAACACTTGAGCACTTTGGCAAATTGCAGGGGGCTATTACTGCTTTATTGATATAAACAACTTGCCTTATCTTCAAGTGTGATGGCTCTTTAGGCCTAACCTGTCATCAATGTAAATACACAACAGATAACCCTTATCAGTTTGGCACCAATAAAGCCAGTCTGCTTTCAAACGTCATCCAAGAGCACATATCTTTTATAGGGATTAAATGGATTAAATGTGCAACCTGAACGTAATTTAAGCTTATTTTTTTTATCCAATGGCTACTTCATCCCTTCTTCCATTCTTGGCTCAGAAGAAACAGATGAATCGGAGGGCAACAGTGCCACCTTTGGGTGACAATGAGTAATACAGTTATAGTAGAGCTCTCAAAGCACTGTTATCAACAGGTAGAGTTTCCCCGTGGCATCCACACAGCTTGTGACTGCAAATATTTGTAGTCCCACTCTGTTTTTTTCATGCGTTTGGACGGAGAAGAGCATGGAGGAAAAGGAAGGGGTCTGGGGTCTGCTGGGGCCTAAAAAAGCCAGGGCTCCCTGGCCAGGTCTGAGCTGCCTGACTGACAAGTGGCCCACCGACTGTTTGTGTGTGTCCATGGGAAATGGGGCGGTGTTGCAGCGACGGCCCTGGAGCCATCCATCAGTGTCATTGGGGGAGGGGGTTTGTGGGGGTGTATGGTATGTGTCACCTCCAAGACTAATGGACAGGAAGTACAGCCAGAGAAACAACAATATTTGCAGAAAATATATATATATATATATTCAGAAAAACGTAAGGGTTTGCTCCACGGTTCTCGTACGATTCCTGAGCACAGGCCTTAATCCTGATTGATGAGTCCGTTTATTTAAAAGACGCTTGCGCTGCGGCCACGACTCTCACTTACCTGATCCACAACTTTGTGCTTTTTAGAGGATAAACTAGGTATAATCACAGTCTTGGTTATAACATGACGTGTAAGTGACACTAACCTGGGCAGAGACCCTGTTCCCAGAGAGAGCAGTGTGAAACTGAGGACCATTAGGGAGTCATATAAAGGGAGAGAGAGAGAGCAGGAGAAACCAGGCTAACTTCTTTCTACTGCTACAGAGGGACCTTGTGTGCTCACTAGTGTTCAGAGACTGAGGTGCTTAACCTCAGCAGCCGGTTACCGTGGCGTCCAAGCCGGACCGCTTCGTGATGTTGACCTTGATCACCTCCTCGGCACAGGTTGGGTGGATGCCCACCGTCTGCAACAGGTGTGAATATGTTGCTCCACACCTGAGACACATACACACAGGGAGGTCATTGACATTGCCTTAACTCACATTCTCTCATGACTGACAGCTGTACACATTATCTTCTATCCATTAAGACATTTTTTTCTTATTGTTCGCTATCAGTTTGTTCTTTGAAACAAAAACTTGTGTCTGCTGAGGACGTGAGAAAGGACTTAAAACTGGATCTAAGATGTGTTGAATAGTTGCATTTAAGCTTCTCTGTATGATATTCAGAGCATTAATATAGCATCAAACAACTATTTGCTATGTAAAGAGAAAGTCAAGTAATATGCTTGGAATTAACAACTTAAAATGCCCAACAATGGTGTGTGGGCCAGAACTGGACATCAAGACCAGGACTCATGGGCCCTTTGTATGGGCTTCTGGAAGGGATACAATATTGATGAATTTGAGATCAGAGACTACGTATTACAAGGCTTTGTTATCATTAGTACTTTATATTATGGGTGAGAAAAATTGTTTCAACAAATTCAACAGTTTAAACAACTCTCTCAGTGATGAAGTTAACTCTGCCTTGTGGTCCTCCAACCAGGCATCCCATCATACGGCAAAGGAAGTAAAAGCTATCAGTTTAAAACTAAACTAAAATGAATGCATTTCTAATTGTTGTTTGCTGTAAGATATAAACTGGAATGTATCGCTCACTAAATGCATGCATGAATGAGAAGAAGTTATCAGGGTACAGAAATATTCCATTCTGCACAAAGAGTTAAAACACTTCAACTCAACACCATAATTGTTTGGATGGTTGTTCCATAAGGCATGCATGGAGTAAAAACACCAAATATATTTAAAGTAAAATCTAGGATTTATTAAACTTACTGGAAGCCCAAAGCAAAGCCCTGTGTGACTTCTCCCGCGTTTGGACCGGTGAAGTGCAAACCCAGGATCTTCTGCTCCCCACCTCGCTCACAAACCACCTAAGGAGGTAGAACACTGAATTCAAGCCAAGGAGCAGAGGCCTCATCTGCTTTTGGCTGTCAAAATAACCACAGAGCAGGACAAGCGGATTCCAAAGCTGACTTCCTAGGCAACAGATGGACAAATCAACGGTTGGCAGGATTATGGTTAAACCTTTAAGTCTATAAATTTATTGAGTCTCCAAACATCCTTCAGGCACCAATCTGAACCCCACTAACCTGCTGCAGGAGGCACGACTCCTGTCCTTCAACAATTTACCGTATTCATTGCCTGAACTAACTTCTGCATTGTATCATTTTGAAATATTACTTCCATTTAGTGGAAGTGTACTTACTTTGCTCAGTATCATCTGCTTTATCATCTTTTTATTGCCATAAACAATTAGTTTTTAAGATTTCAAAAAAGTGCTATTATTAAGTTGTAATAGTTTTTCATGCAAGAATGTAAACATTCAGATTCCCAAAATGTGATCAGTTTATCCAAAAGACAGCTATCTGGAACTTTCTGGAGCTGTGAGGAGCTGCTGGCTGTGTTTTTGTAATTACTCACTGCCAGAAGGGGTGGACACAGGTCTGCACTGTATGTTTAACCACAGGGTGTTCACAAATAATAACAATAGTAAATGAAATCAAGAACCACCGATTTGGTAATAGCTAGATGGAGCCAAATTGGAAGAAGTAGTACAATTGCGTTTGAACAGCACGTGAAAAAATAGGCATGGCAGCATAAGATGAATATGCATCTTACACAAATATATATATATAGTATGAACTCAATGATATGGTGTTTAAAATGCCAACAAAATCAGCTAAAAAAAAAACCCTCATAAAAAGTCACTGCACAGTTTAGTCTGCAGTTTAAACCTACCTTTAAGTAACACTGGCTGGCATCACGCTCTGCGACAATGAATTCCAGGGGCTTGTAGAAAGCATTGTAGACCTACACACACACACACACACACACACACACACACACACACACACACACACACACACACACACATACACATACACACAGAGAACATAGACACGTTCACTGGAGAAATTATGAAAATGTGCAAAAACAAATCTCCAGCAGTGATGATGATCCCTCTGCTATTATTTAAAGAGACATATTCACTTTTGCTGAGAATAGTAACTGAAAGAACATCAGGAAGGAAATCAAAACATTATAATATAAGATTGAGTTTTACAAGCAAATTAGAAGCCTTTTAATTTTAGAGATGAATTGTCCTTTTACAATAGCCTAAGAAAAATGTATTCAAGCTAGTATCCGGTCATGGCCGACACATTTCTTATGACTATCTCTCACTACTAAGCTGCAATGCCTTATGAGCACTAACTCAAACACACTATATGAAATCTGAATAAAAACGTGGATGCATGCTCATGACAGGGATTGATTTCCAACTCCTCACAGAAAGTGTGTGTATTGTGTTGTATTCTACGGGCCAACGTGCCGACACAAGTTGCGAGGGCCACGCAGCTGTCGGGGGCTGGAGCTACAGTTCCTCCTCAGATCTAAGCGTGCCTGTCATCACCTCATACACACCTCAATCAGACCTCCTGCTTGCCTGTCAGTCACAGCCAGGAGCCCCACCTCGCCGCCTAAACCGTTTATCGACGACCTCGTGCAGGTGTTCGCTAGCATCTGGCACACCGCTCACGTACGCGAGCATGTAGAAATACAGAGCTGCTTGCTGTTCGCATTGTATGTGCGTGCCAATGTTTGTTCAGCGGTTATGGGACATTGTGTTTTTGATGCAGTTTGACAGCAGTAATGAGCCACTAACCCTGCCTTTGTGCACGTGTGGCATGTCATTTCTGGGTAAATAAACTAAACACATAATACAACAAAGTTACAATCACAACTGGAGACTTCACCAGTTGTGTACCGTTATATTTTAAAGAGTGTGCCATTTCTGATAATATACATGAATCACTCTATATACACTGAGATAAGCTGTTTAATTAACCTCGCAGTAAGTCAAGGACTTTTACAGACCACCTACAAAGTACCTTTTAGACAAAAAATAGAATGTAAGGTTATTCCAGATTTTTTTCATTGCATTGTAAGTTGAAATGGACGGCTTTGATTAAAAATGCTACATATCTATTCTGAAGTACTACAGTGACACATCTATCATACCTCTATGCCGTCTTTCCCATGCCTCTTCTCAGCCTCCTCCTCAGACAGACCCACGCAGGCGTACTCAAGGGGGGTGAACACAGTGGTGGGCACCTGACACACACAAACAAACACACACACACACAGCACTTCAAGCTTCAGCTGAAACATTTAGAGAATCAATCAATTAGTTGTTTGACAGAAGATTCTGTAGTATGATAATTAAATATTTGTTTCAGTCACTTTTCTAGCATGCATTGCTTTTTATTTGTGTTGTAATACTGTGCAGGGGGCTTTGAATGTATTATAGAAATACATACATTAGTGCAGTGGTTCTCAAACTGTGGGGCGCGCCCCTCTAGTGGGGTGCGGTGGTATTACAGGTGGGGCGCAGGGGGAAATGCAGAATCTTTTTTTTTTTTAGTAATTTTTAGTAATTAATAAATACATGGCAAAATGTATGGAAGCCCGTTTCCGCCACTGTGAGGAAAAATTACAGATCCTGTAAGTCATTATAATGAGATACTATCTCAAAATAATGACTTAGCATCTCATAATTATGACTTAGCATCTCATATCAGCCAATTGTAATAAGCTATTTTTTGCCAAATTGTAGTTCTTTTTTGCACAGATCGAACTTTATTTGCATTGTTCTAACAAAGTGATTGCACATTTTATTTGTTTTTGTCTGATGGAGCAATCTGGTTTACTTAAAAGTGATTGCAATTTTCTTTATTCTATTATTTGAAAAAGCATGGACGGAGGAGTCACAAAATGTTATTTCAATAAAAATTCAACATAGACCATTTTGTTACAATTTTGTTGGGGTGGTGGGGCATGAACATTTTTCTTCCTCCAAAGTGGGGCGCGACAGAAAAAGTTTGAGAACCACTGCATTAGTGCATCATACTAAGAAATCCCCCCTGACCCCATGTGAATATAAAGATACTCTATAATAATAACATGATAATAAAACCTACATTAAAACTTGCAGAAGAGTTAAATATAAGTAAACATAGCATAATGAAGAATGATGACATTTTGGGGAAATTCTGGTATGTTTATTTCACGATCATTAAGAGAGGCTGGAGGAAGAAGTGTGGGTACATCAGAGACTCAAAGCACAAAACTTTAGAATTTGGCTCAAATGAAGCACAAACCAACAGTCTGAAAAAGCCAGAGGAACACTGAGTGTGTGTGTGTGTGTGTGTCTTACGTTGTCATAGTTCATGAGTTCAGTGCTGTGACCAGTCAATCTACGGGCGAGAAGCTTTCCCGCTTTAATGGCCGTTGGGGTCAATTCAGGACGACCCTAAAACAAGACACAATTGAATTTACTTCTATATGTGTTGACTTCAAAGACATACGCGCTATAGGACTGCTTCTTAAAAATCTGTTTACTTTGCTATAAGCAACAAAAGTCTGAAGTTTAAACCATGTAGTCATCGGTTTTTATTTCAAACAGCCTAGCACACTTTCAAAAATCTCTGCGTCTGTGTTTTGTCTTTATTGTTCCGGATGTCTGCCAAAATAGAGAAGCGCACGCACACGCGCGCACGCGCGCACACGCGCGCACGCGCGCACACGCGCGCACGCGCGCACACGCACACACAACTGAATGGTGCAGGAAACAGTAGGGCTGCGGGGCAATTCTAAAGGCATGACTAAAACTTGTTGAATTACCACTGCATATCCTGTTGTCCAAAACAATTCCTGCACCTCTGCATGTATGAGATGTGTGCTCTGGTATTCCAGTAACTGACAAGCGTCATACATAATGCATTTCTTGGCACTCTTCTCTGAGAGGAAAAAAAACCAACAACAAAGCACCGGACAAATTGAGATATCAATCCTCCTGCGTTAAAAAAAAAAAAAAAGAAAGAATTAAAAAAGCCTCCATGTTGCTGTGGCAAGCTGACAGACATTGGGGTGAAGCACAACTCATCAAAGCAAACTGTCAATCAAAGAGAGTAAGTGTGGGTGTCATGAGGCCTGGGAGGCAGGAAGGAAGCACACAGCTGGTCGTGGTGAAAAAAACAACACTGACATTACATGCAGCAGGTAGAACTAGTATTAACATGGCTGGTTCAGCCAGGAACACACAGCGGCAATGCCAGTGATTACATGAAGGCTTCACTTTACACCGAGTCTTCTGCAGTACTTGCTGGTGGGTAAAATGTCTTAAGTGTGCACAATTAAATGTCCAACTTTCAAGATAATGGTTATTTTTTTGGTGTAATAACTATGGCCGTTTATATATTTTGTGACCCTCATCAGCTCAAAACTTTGAAAAGCATTTACGGTGACTGTGAAGGTTGAGACATACAGCCCGTCACAGTATTCTATGTTACAGTCAAAACTTATAATAACTACATACTATGAGTGGTTTGTATGACTTATGAGTTTCTGCTGTCCGTGTAGTGTCTGTTGACAACGCCTACCTCGCCGATGTCACCAAAAGCATAGATATTTGGCACCGAGGTGGATTCGTCAGAGCCCAAAATTATTTTCCCCGTCTCCTTTTTGAGTTCCACGCCAAGCTTGTCCAGACCGAGGGCTTTGGTTTCAGGGGCTCTGCCTAAAGTCGATGGAAGGAACCAACACAAGGAGAATATTAAGTCACAGCTCAGGAGAGAGAGAGAGTTTTTACAAAAGCCTAGATACTGCTAAAGGGGGTTATCTGTACAGTGTTGGTTATACAGTAGCATGCAGCTGGAGTACTAGGAGTGAGGACTTAAAACAATTTGAAGGAGAGTCAGTCGAACACCAAAGTCATTAGTGTCCATCCTCTGGGGACCATGAATATCTGTAGAAAATCCAACCAATAGTTTTTGAGACATTTCAGTCTGAACCAGAGTGGCGGGCTGACGTTGCCATTTCTAAAGCTTTGTAGCTGGTGGTTAACATTCGCTGACACCAGCCTCTCAAATGTGAGGATTTGCTGCTTTTCTCTGGTTATATCTTCTAATCTTGAAAACCCCAATACCAGTGTTGGCCTTAAAATACAAACGAAGGTCAAACCCTAATTCTGAATTATTGAATTAGAAAACAACAGCAACATCTGGCCAGCTGAGAGAGAGGACAAACTGATGAGCAGCTGGGAATCGGGATCCCATGGACCCCCCGGGACACTCAAAGGTGTGATTTCTGACACTTCCTGGGGGACGGCTGACTAATGCTGTCGACACAGAGTCTCTATGGTGATGGGGCATGGACCACTCTCTCCCCCTCCTCTCCATAGCTCCACACAACCTGCCTGGGTAGCATAATAAACACCCGACCCTGAGCTACCCATGTAGATGCTATCGGACAGCAAAAATAACAAACCCCCGAGACCCTTTTTCCTGGCTGGAGCCGAAGAACAACGTCCTCCCCCTCTTCTCAGACCGGGGGGGGGGGGGG